CCAGCATGCCAAACTTTTTCAAAAGCTGTCAATAGCAATAGCTGTTGCCTCTCTGCTTCCATTTAATGCACAATAAAATCTTTCAGTCACAGCATTTAGCAAGTCAGCCATAGAAAGGATTGAAAGCCGTATTGATTGTCTGATAGTATGTTATTTGACTCAAGATGAAATGTGATGTTTTAGATAGGACACTTTCACACATTATAATATTTCTCCATTTTAAACCCATTCAATAATCATTAAAGACCATTTTAATGAAATCTATCGCATCATTTACTGCAATAGATCATTATATCCGTTATGACGATTGTTATAACGATCGTTATAGCGGCACTATCTGCTTTTAAGATAATCACATGGCTTGTTTATATTTTTGTGATTATCCTAAAAATAGTCAGTTTCGCTACAAAAATCATAATTACATTGTGACAATTTGCTTGTGCTATGAATATGAATGGGTTTGTTGAAATACTTAGAGTGTTTAAAACGGCTGTGAATTTTAATTGTAAAAACCACAGAACCGATACAGAACAGAACAGTTTGTAGAAAGTTCGGAAACCTTTAAAGATACGATATCAAAATATAATATCAAAAATTTCTCATGGTTTGATATATTGATAGGTATCAATATATCAAACTATGATAAACTTTTGAAATCAAAATACAACACATTGGTATTTATTTCTGACGAAACACCACAACCTCGAGGTTGTGGTGTTATGTCAAAAATTGATATCAATGTGATGAAATTTAGATATCAAAAGTTATGAAATTTAACAAGATATACTTTTAAAATACTTTTTTTATATCAATATTAAGAACATTGAACATTGGGTCTTTATGCTCTTGCTCGCTTCTCCAAACCATTATTCTCCCAACACATTTAACTTCAAAATCCAAAACTCTCATTGATAATATTTTTATAAACTCCTATTCTCCTGAAATATCAGGAAATCTAACAATTTCTATTTCAGACCACATGGCCCAGTTTCTCTGTATTCCTGGTATTACCCCAAAAAAAAGATATTCTAGATAGATAATATCTAGAAGGTGCTTTATAAAACTTTGATACTGACACCTTTATACAAGATATATCTAGTATGAACTGGGAGGTACAAATAAAAGACAATGACATAAATAAATCAATAATAAGTTTTTTAAATAAATTTGAAAAAGTTCTAAACAGACATGCACCCTACAAAGTTTTTAAAAACAACAAATTAAACTTAAATCTAAACCATGGATAACTGCAGGTATTCTTAAATCTATCCAACCAAAAATATTATTTATAAAAATTTAGGTTATATAGAAATAAAATAAGCAACTTACTTAAACAATCCAAAAAAATGCAATATATTTTCTTTTTCAACAACAAACTTAACAGCATTAAGAAAATTTGAAAAGGAATAAAAGAAATTATTAACATTAAACCTACTATATACAATAACTCTTTCAACCTCAAAATAAACGATAAATTCATCTCTGATTCAACCACAATTACTTTGCTACTATCCAAGAGAACTTAATAAACAAAAAAAATTATCCCTAAATATGAGTTTAGAGATTTTCTTAAAAATCCTAATAAAAGTTTGTTTTTTTTGAGCAGTACAGTACTGAAGTTGAGGTGTCAAGTCTCATAATGAAATTTCAAAACAAAAAAAGTCTGGGCCCAAACAATCCTCCCACATTTATTCTTAAGATTATTTCAAACATAATTTCAAAGCCACTATTCGTAATGATGAATAACTCATTTAGAAATGGAATATCAGCAAACTATTTGAGAAAGCTATGCACAATAGACTCTACAACTTTCATGAAAAATTCATGTATCTTTATAAAAATCAGTATGGGTTTACAAACAATCATTCAACAACTCATGCACTAATTGATATAACTTAAAAAATTAGAACAGCTTTGCACAATAAATTGTTTGCATGTGGTGTTTATGTTGATTTGCAGAAAGCCTTTGATACAGTTTTAGTATACTGCTTTTAATAAACAAATCACTTAAAAAGATTAACATTAACCATGACTTAGCAAATCTACTCCAGTGGCTTCTATCCAATAAATTATCACTTAATTCTAAAAAAACTGAAACTATTATCTCTAATAAAAGTCAAACAAAACACCAACTGATAAAACTATAAAAAAACACCTAAATTTTAGATAAGGTGGTCAAAAAATAGATACTGTGAATTTTATCAAGTATCTTGGTATCAAAATTGATTCCAATTTAAGTTTTGCATCACATCTTCAAGACTTAGCACTGAAACTTAAAAGATCCAAGAGTATGTTGGCCAAAATTCAACATTTTCTTAATCTTGAAATGCTCCTTAACATATATCATGTTATTTGTGAGTCTCATGTTAGATATGCTTGTCGAACATGGGGGCAAACTCAATCTCTAACACTTAAAAGATTATCTCACCTTTAAAATAAAGCCCTAAAAATAATCTACTTTCAGCATTTCAACTCTGACCCTAATATCCTCTACTACATATCAAAGACATGTAAAAACTTAAATTAAAAGATCTTATTCAACACAAAAACTGTTTGTTTGTACTTATAAAAAAATACTCCTTACCAACTTCGATCAGCTAAAAGCTTCAAATTATCTATACCTAATCATAGAACTGTTTGTTATGGACATGAATTGATTAAATATAAGAGCATATGCACATATATAGTCTCCCCTCACAGATAAAATATCTCCCTACATTTTCCAAATTCAAAAACAGTTTATTTAATTTTTTATTAAACAAATATTCTTCTTAATTTCTATGCTACTCTACTGCTAATTATTAACTATGCATCTTAATTTTATTCGCTTCAATGCTGGTTTATAGCTACTAATACCTGATCTTTTTTAAATTCTTTTCTACTACTTTCTTCATCTGATTTACTACTACTACTTGTTCTTTCCTAACTTTTTCTCAAATTAATATTATTTTTATATCACTATTCTATTTCCAACTCTCACTATTATAAATATTGCTATTTTTATCATTGATATTATTATTATTTTTATTTATTATTATTAATAGAATTGTTATTTTTATTGTTAGTTTTTATTATTATTTTGATTATTATTACCAACAACTGTAGTTTTTATTATTATTTTCTATTATTATTACTGATAATAAAAGATGTATAAAAGTAAATTAAACTTCTTCATTATTATTCTATAAAGTTTAAGTATTTAACTGTTTTACGTTTGTTTGTTGTTTTTAGTTTAATATTATGGTTTTAGTTTAATATTATGGTGATTACTTAAAATTAGTACATGTACTATACGTAAATATTCCATGGCATGTAAAATCTATTTCAGAACACATTTAATTTGATTTGATTTAAATCCAGTGTTATTTTATCATTTAAAATACAATAAGGTGCAAGCTGCAAATATCTTTCAAAAACATTGTTTTTTAAACCATCCTAATTTTCCTAGCTGATATATTGTCAATTATTTCTTTGTTTATACTATTTTATTTTTAATTTGTTCAAATTCATATAGAGTTGTATTTAAAAGATAGATAATGTAAACAAACAAACAAGTCAATAATGTCATGTACTAACCCTCTTAGGAATAAAACGCCCTTGAATAAATTATCAAGTCAGTAGATCCCAACGCATATTATGCTGACTTTTTACACTACACTAAAACAGAAAAAGCAAATTTCAACTAAAATAAAAAAGTTACTTATTCTTGGTATGTATTTATTCTTTTGTTTTAATCAAAAAAAATTAGCCTAAACATTTTATTTATCATTCTCTTTAGTATGAATGCAACATGTCTCAGAGGTTTGGGATCCCTTCAAAGAAGTTTAAAAATTATCCTGACGCTTGTTAAAAACACGTTGCCCTAAAGTGTAAAAACCAAAAATTACTTTTTTAATTTTTTTCAAATATTTTTAGGGATGCAGATTTTTGGAAAGTTTATACATTTATCTATACATTTAACTTCAGAATTAAATGTTATGGTCGAAAAATAAAAGTTTGAGCATAACAAATAGACAGTTTGCTTAAAATATAAAACTTTGGTTTCAACAAAAACTGACAACTTAAGTACTTATTATAAATTTTCTTATCAAAATAATTTTTGAAATAGAAGTAAAGTTCCTAATTTTTAACTTTTGTTTTCAATATGAAACTTCTAATTTATTTGATAAAATATTTAATAAATTTTTTACCTTAAGCAAAATAACACTGTACATACTTTCAATAGGATAGAGCCTATTTTAACTTTTTGAGGCAAGTAACTGGCTCAACCAAAAGTTTACTAACAGTTTGATTAGCAGACAAGGTCAAATCAAGTGGCCAGCTAGTTTATTCAATCTTTTGCTAAACTTTTTCCTTTGTGGCTTTGATCTTTGATGACCTTTCAACTTATAACAAATTTTGAAATCTGATTTAACAGGTATGCAAAAATGTAGTTTTTCTAAATCACAGTTATTTACTAAAGATTATAAGAACATTACTTCTATGACATCTTGAAAAATAAACTTTGCCTGTTGAAATAAAAATCATAACATATTTAAGTATATAAAAATGTTATGACTTTCAAAAATAATACAGTTGCGTATGTAGGGCTAAAGTTTTATATCTAAAAATTTAATGACTAAACTTATTTTTGTTTAATAAATTATTGAGTATTTCCTTGTAATGTGATTCACAAATTTATTAGTACCATATGCTACTACCGTCATCATAAAAAGGTTTATCTTTCCTCCATCTTCCTTATTTAATTATCTATTTCTTTGCATTTATTTAATGTAGTTGATAAAGATTGTTTCAATAAATAGGGTCTTTTTAATCATTTTCTTTTTATCATTATTTATGGATTTTTATCTAATTATTATCAATCACTTAACTTCAACATTCAAGATTTTAGGTTAAGCAACATATTCAACATATTGAATGTAGTTTTTAATATAGAAACTACTAATACCTTAAAAAATCTTAAACTTTGATTGAGAATTTAATTTCATAAGTTACAATACCTTCTACATTGAGTTGAACTGAAAATCCAGAATCGCACAAATGAGGTTGGGTGAAACAACTTGATCCAAAATGATCGCTTATTAGTCTATTTAATGAATTTTTTTTCTGCATACTAATTGAATCACCATACAATGTTTCAGTCCCAACAAGACTAGCATATTCAGCAAAATTGTTTGTTACTTCTACACTTTCTTTAGACCAAGAGTAATCAGCTTAAGTCAAAACATAATTTTAGAATAATTTTATAGAAATTATTTCAAGAAATTATACAAGCAAAAGCTGACAGTATTCAAATAAAAATTATTTAATAAAAAACTAAATATCTAGTAAAAAAAACATAAATCTCACCAGTCAGATAAGAAGTTCCTTTTACAGAAATAGTAACATTATTTTCACTAACTGCATTCCAGTTTACGCATAAAAGTTTAAGTGATGTTGTTCGAAAAGGATATAAATATATTTCTGATGATATGGAAAACACCTATAAAAAGTTTAAAAATATTTTAAAAAAAAACAGTAGCATTAATTTTTAGTTTAAAATCAAATTTTTGTTGTTAAAAATTATCATGATAAAATTTATCATAATAAAAATAAGGTTTTAGAATCAAAATTTGATGTTAATGATATGTTCAAAATTTGTTGTGCAATTTCAACAAAAAATTACTTTTTTACAGGTTTTTTTAATAAAAGTAATGTTTTAATAATAATTTATTAAATACTAAAAAAAAAAAAAAAAAAAACCAAAAATCATCATTTAAGTGAGACAACTGTTGCAATTATTTAGCTATGAGTCTTGCAAACAGAATGGTTTCATAATGCACATTGAATCAAGTTTTTCTGTCATAAACTTGTGAGGGCATTAAACTTCATTTAACTTCTCAAATTTTATAATTTCGGTGAATTGACAAGAATACAATAAAAGTGTAGTGTGCTGTAATATCTAAGATATTACAAAACGTTGCTAATAAGCATTGTTACTATCAGCAACTTCTGTAGTGATTGACAACCTAGTCTAATGTGTCAATTCAACATTTGTATTTTTAATCTAAAATAATATACAGTTTTTAATATTGGTTAATAACAATTTCATTATTGTAATATTGGTCAAGAACAGTTTCACTATTGTGATTGATAAAAATATGACTGCTTTATTTTGTTTATGTACATGACATGAAACTATAATTCAGTATTTATGAAAACAAAAAATACTAGAGTAAACAGGTCTCATGTACTATCAAAGAACGTGTGAAATAAATGTTTTTAAAATAACTGTCTGCTGTTATGTGTCTTTCACTTCCATTTATACTTGTCCAACATCACATGCTCAAATTATTTGACCAAAACAATTGACCCAAATATGATTGCAAATTTATTCAGTAGTTTAAATCACTTGATATCTATGTCTTAAATCCATATTTTTCTGGTTTATCAAGTATAAACAACTTAAATAAACTTAATCTCTAGTAAGTTATGGTGTTGGGTTATAGGTAGTATTACATTATTTATTAAAATTTTCATAATAATGTTTTGCAAAATTTGTCTTCAAAATGCTTTAGCTTTGTGTTTCTCTTTCAAAAAAATCAAATACTTAGACAATGAGAGTAACAATAAAACATTTTATATAAAATTAGGACAAACAAAACATTAGAAAAATTATAATAAATGTTAAAAACATTTTTAATTTTTAATTTAAACATATAAAAGTTTAATTTAAACATATTAAAGTAAAAAAGTACAAAGTAACAATTAACAAATTACTATAATCATTTCACTATTCAATACTATCTTTTTTTAGACATTTTAAAAGTGCTTGTTTTAGTACTGGGAAGCCAGTTGTTTTATAGCATTAAAATTAAAAATGCTACATGTGCTCGTTAATTGAAAACTAATAATGATAGACATCTTGGATTACTCTACTGTAGGTGTCATTGAGCTAAAATAAAACTTTTTGTAATAAATTTATTTTAATAAAAATTAAATTTAATTGATTTGATTTTTTGTTTTGAATTTTTATTAACGCTTTTTTGTTTTTGTTTCAAAATTTTATTTTTTAGCTCTACAAAATTCTCTTGAAACTTTACAAAAATGGTTTCATAAAGATAGTTTAAATCTGTTTTTAATCTATATATTTTTGTTTTTAAATTTTGTTAAATTAATTTTTGATTAATAACACAAACAATAAGTTCTTCTTAACTAATTTTTGATTAATATGGAAACACATAAAAATGTCAATAAGTTTGTAATCATCCTTTAAAAAAGTAAATAAGTAATAAAAAAGGCTAATCATAAACTCACAATAGTATCATTAAACAGCTTGTTATCTTTGTATGGTAAGTATTCACCATTTACTTCATAATAGATACAAAATTCCAATAATTGATCACTAGTATCAAATGTTAGTCCAGTGATTAAATTTGGTGCATTAAATCTCATTATTAAAGAATCATTCTTTGAAAATACAAATGATTCAATAATTGGTTTATCTGTAAAAAAAAAAAAAACCTTTTCAATATCCAAAATTTAATTTAAATAATATGAAGTAAATAGCTGTTAGATAATTATCATTATAACGAAAAATGTAAAATTAACTTCACACCTTTTTTAAAGTGTCAAATATTCAGCAACCATAAAAAATTTTTGAATTATTTTACTTTTAGAAATATGTAAATATATATATATATATATATATATATATATATATATATATATATATATATATATATATATATATATATATATATATATATATATATATATATATATATATATATATATATATATATATATATGTATATATATATATATAAATAAATATATATATATATATATATATATATATATATATATATATATATATATATATATATATATATATATATATATATATATATATATATATATGTGTGTATATATATATATGTATATATATATATATAAATATATATATATATATATACATATATGTATATATATATATATATATATATATATATATATATATATATATATATATATATATATATATATATATATATATATATATATATATATATATATATATATATATATATATATTATTATTATTATTATTATATAAACATCAATAAATACGATTTTCTCTCAATACTAAATTTATTTTTTATTGTTTAAAAGAAATTTTTGCTGGATTGTTGTGACCAGCGTCTTCAGCTTAAAAGATTTTGTTTGTTTTTGTTTATATGTTATTTTTAAACGGCAATTTTATTATTTGTCAATGGAATGTTTCTGGCTGCATACATTAAATGCTCTATGTACAAAACCCTTGAATATTCCATTTAAAATTTGTGGGTCATGGTTCGATCTTGACTTCAATATTGACTTCAAGAAATAAATCCAAACTACAAAAGAACAGCCACCCAGGAGTTTACCTTATTAAGTGCCATTGTAACAAAAAGTATATTGGTGAAACAAAAATGCAAATAAAAACACGCATACAACAACACAAAAACAGTACAATAGGAAATAAAACAGAAAGATCAGCATTAGCCACACACATGAAACATTGTGCACAACAAATTAACTGGGACAGTTGCAGAACTCTAAAAGTCAATAACAAAAAGTTTGATAGGAAAGCTCGTGAGGCGCTTGAAATACAGTACCACCAATGTGCCCCTCAACAAAGTGGTATCAATTTAGATGAGGGACAATATGTGTCAAAAAAATTCTGGACACCATTTCTAATGCACTTATGTCAGAAAAAGACGAAACCATTCCATTGACATATAATAAAATTGCCGTTTAAAAATAATATATAAACAAAAACTAACAAAACCTTTTAAGCTGAAGACGCTGGTCACAACAATCCAGCGAAAATTTCTTTTAAAAAAGTATTTATTGATGTTTATAAAATAATAATAATAATAATAATAACAATAATAATAATATATATATATATATATATATATATATATATATATATATATATATATATATATATATATATACCCAAAAAGCATTTAAAAATATTTTTGAATTATTTTATTTTTAGAAAATATATATATATATATATATATATATATATATATATATATATATATATATATATATATATATATATATATATATATATATATATATATATATATATATATATATATATATATATATATATCCAGCAAGCACATAACCTTTTTTTAACGTTGCGAAATGGTTGATATATGATTGAAAAGTAACGATCTAAATTTCAACTTTATTCCAACATTAGTTCAACATTAAAAAAAAATAGTTGAAAAAAAACTAAAAACAAACTTTGAATTAATGTTGAAAAATAAACGTTGAAATTAGGTTGAAATTTAGATATCAGAGTTCGCCGACGCAAATGTATTAATAATTTAATAAAATTTAATATTTCACATATGTTAGTGCGTGGGATCAGGTAAAGTAAAAACATATGTAAACTGGATTGCAGACGTTAACATTACTCCAAGGCAGGTTGATATTTTTGTTTTATTGTTGTTGTTTTTTAATATTTTGCTGCACTATTAAAATAAAATAAAGATGGCTCGCACAGTAGAACAGAATTTAAATTTAAAGTTTTAATTAAAAAAGCAAAAAATTGACTATTAATGTAAGCTTTGATAATATAAGAGCTAAAGTATACAACAAAGTCATTTTTAAATATATCTACTTTGTTTTGTTATGTGCATATAATGCTCATCCAGAGAAAGGAGCCAGTTAATGAAAATCTAAAGAACAAAAAGATTTTTTTTTAATGTATTGTTAATGTTGAGTTTTTCAACTGTAACGGAGTTTAAATTAAAATAAAACACATTCTGGTTATATAATGCATATGTCATTATTTAAACATTATGAAAGTAACAAAGAATGTAAATTATGATTTTTTTAATTAACTTTTATTACTCTGCCATCATAGATAATTGTCTTGATATATCAATAGTGTACCATTCATGACAATGTTCTGCGAATATTTTTTTTACACAATATAATCTAAATCATCAAGTTGCATAAATGACAAACTGTTAAATAAATTTCTTATTTCTTTTTATTATTTTATTTATTTATTATTATTATTATTATTAATATTATAATTATTTATATATTTCTATTATTTTTATTTTTATTTTTTTTTATTTATTTATAATGATTTATTGTTTTCTTATTTATAATATTTAAAAGAAAAAGTTATTAAAAGTTGCTAAAAATCATGCACTAAGATTTCTTATGAACAGACTTCAAAACAGCAAATAATTTATAAAAAAGAAAAAAGTAAGTTAGGGAAAAAGCTGTTTATAAACAGCTTTTTCCCTAACTTTCTTCTTTTTTTTTATTATTTCAATATATCCATTGAGTATCAAATCACATTTATATTGACTAGTCTAAAATAATTTGTCTTTTAACTTTAACCTCTCAGTTGTATTCATGTCTGGTTTTTCAGATCTTAACAAAGATTTTGTTTATCACATTTTTTTGCCATGATTTCATTATTTTTTGTTAATTTGTGATTTGAGTATTCCATTAATTTAATTGATTTGTGATTTGATTGTATTTTTACTATTTTTTTTTTTGTTTTTTTTTTTTTGAATAAATTTTTTTTTGATTTTGCAGGTTAATAACAAATAAATTAAAAGGTTAATGACAAATAAATTAAAAACAAAATTTAACTTGACCTGATCTAACACAAAACAAACAGAAGAGAATGGATTTTAAATATTTACAAGGTGTTATTGATATGTATATTATATTTCTTTGCGCTGCTCCCACCTATATATATATATATATATATATATATATATATATATATATATATATATATATATATATATATATATATATATATATATATATATATATATATATATATATATATATATATATATATATATATATGTATATATATATATATATATATATATATATATATATATATATATATATATATATATATATATATATATATATATATATATATACATTATATATTTATATACACATATATATGTATATACATATATATATATATATATATATATATATATATATATATATATATATATATATATCATATATATATATATATATATATATATATATACATATATATATATATATATATATATACATATATATATATATATATATATATATATATATATATATATATATATATATATATATATATATATATGTGTGTGTGTGTGTGTATGTATATATACATATGTGTATAATTATATGCATATATGTATATATCAATACAGTTAATTGTAGATAACTTGACCCTCCAGGGGACCAAAGAAACGGTTCTACTAAACAATTGTTTGATGTATAACTGCCTAAAAGGTTTGTGTTATGTGTTTGTATTTGTTTTGATGTATGATGTTGTTGTATAATGTATGATTATCAAAATAGGTTGATATCTTGGTCAACAATGAAGTAATTTAGGTACGGATCAATAATGGGTTGTTGTTTTTTTCTACTAATGATCATTTAATGTTCACATTCACTTGTGAACAATGTGTAGTATAATAATACTTGTAAAATGTACAAATGTACCTTACTTTAAAGATATTTTTATTTAGATGCAGTTACCTGATGTTCTTAAACAAAAATACACAATGTACAAAGATAGAATTTAGATCATTTGAAGGTTGCACCATATTGATTGGATCATTGAAAATGCATCAAAATCAAAATGAGTCTGATAACAGAAGGCAATAAAAATACATATGAATTTGATATTGGTAATGAAGATAATGATATAATTTTATCAAAAACGTTTTTTGGTTTTATTTGCTTTCAATAATTGCCTTTCAATTTCTATAATTTAGTTAACTGCATTAAAAAAAATGGTACAGGGTAGATTATTTGTAATGCTATAGCAACAGTTAGTGTTATAATATAAAATAAACTAATAATACTACTAATAATAATAAGAGAAAGCTGTAAAAATTGAGAACAAGATGTGCAGTACAATAGAATAAGTTATTGTGCAGCTATTATAAGTTTATGAAGAATACTGTGTTTTTTTGGAGTCACAGCAAAAAAAACTGTATTTTTGAGGTTTATGAACTTGTATATAAGTTAGTTGAATTAATAATAGATCAACACTAATCTAATGTTGATTTTTGGTTTGTTTTCAATGTTGATCTAAAGTTTTTTTTCAACGTTGATTTGTGTTTCCATTCCAACCAAAAATCAACCATTTTTCAACCATAAATTTCAATGATTTTTCAACGTTTTTCAACATTGATTGTACTTGCTGGATATATATATATATGTATATATATATATATATATATATATATATATATATATATATATATATATATATATATATATATATATATATATATATATATATATATACATATATACATATATATACATCGATGTATGTACTAAAGCCCTTGGCAGCAGGCTATTTAAGTGTTACATCAGAATTGTTATTTAAATACATATTCATAGTTGTCTGTATATAGAAATAACT